ATTAAAGACAAATCTCCTGTAAATACCTGTTATACTCCCGCTTATTATAACCGTTTTCAAGTTGTGTCTCTCGTCTCAGAAGATGGGAACTGCTGCATCTAACGCAGCACTAAAAATACACAAAACCAGAGCTTTTTTCCTGCCAGTAAAATATTGTAACATAATAGCAATCCAAGCAGTGCATAGAATCATAGAACCACAGAATCATAGAATCGTTCAGGTTGGAAAAGCCCTTTAAGATCAACAAGCCCAACCGCTCCCCTACCCCTGCCATCCCACCTGCAAACCCTGGCCCTCAGCACCACCTCTGCCCAGCTGTTAAACCCCCCCAGGGACAGCCCTTTGGGGAAGGAATTGTTCCCAATGTCCAACCTAACCCTGCCCTGGCACAACTTGAGGCCATTTCCCCTCATCCTATCACCGTTTGCCAGGGAGAAGAGGCTGATCCCCACCTCACTACAGCCTCCTGTCAGGTAGCTGTAGAGGCATCCACCAGTCTTTGGAAGCCACCAGGAGTCATCCCACTGGGTCCATCAGGGGCTGGCTCAGGGTAGCTGGTGGGAACTCCACATCCACAGAAACATTCCCCAAGACCCAGGTTCAGCCGTCCCTTCCGCCAACATGAAACACTGGTTCCCTCCCTGCTGAAGGTAATAACAGCATCTGCCTAAAAGCTTTGAAATAGAGACCAGGATAAACAACGCAGAGCTTGCTGGATAAACAGAAGAGTTTCTATGATTGCGAAAGACTTGAAATAAAGTCTTCCAGGGCAAAATGTGGGACACATCGCAGCTGTTACACGGAACCATGTCAAGAGTGCTTCTGAATACTTGTTCTTCCAGCATCCCCCAGTGAATTGAGCTTCTGAGGATTTTTTTTTTAAAAAAAAAGGCAAGCAAAGCTGAAAATTACTGTTATTACCTGAAAACACATGAAACAGAGCTCCTTCTGGGCTCATAATACTCCCACAGGTTGAGATGAGAGTCTTGGCATGGGATGGGATGGCCAGCTTGCCCCGGCCATTGCTTTGTGGGTTTGCTGTTTGTCACTGCTGGAGCAGATTTACCTCCAGAGCTTTCCCACTGAAGGTCTTGCTTTATCGGGAACACCCTCCACACGCGGATTTGTACATGACCTGAATTGCTTGAAGAAGCCTCCATCATCCACACGTCCATCATCCACGCATCATTGCAACCAACCCAAATGTGGATGTTTATAATAACCGTGCTGGACTCTGCATGGACATATGGAAAAGATGATGTACACTGACAAAAAGAGAATATAAACTAAATGGCTAAGATGGAGGATCCAAGTGGGCAGAAAACAAAATCTTTTCTAGTTCTCACAGCAAATCAGTGACACAAAAAGGGAAAGAAGCCACGTTCCCCCCTCCTTATTCATGAGGACCATTCCTCCACTGTTTGTATAGCGGTTCTTGTCTGCAGATGCATAGGGGACTCTGCAAATCGGCTTGTACTGAGTTTATTATTCAGGTTTCCTCTCTGCTGTTTGAGATCACCAAGGCCTGCAGCTCCACACAGACCAATCTTTAGTCCAAGCTATCCGAAAATCTTGCACATTATCAACCCTTCTCACCCATCATTGGTGCTCTCCAAGGAACTAGTGTCAGTCAACCATTTCTATCAGCCACACTGCTGCCACAGAAAGGTTTAGGTTGGAAAAGACCTTTCAGATCACCAAGCCCAACCGTTCCCCTAACCCTGCCATCCCACCACTAAACCCTGGCCCTAAGCACCTCCTCTGCCCATCCTCCCAAGCTTTCCCAACCCAGTGTCCCAAGAGCAACAGGCTGGGGGAATATTACACAAGTCTCCACAATCCTGGTTTTCTTTAATTCACAACCACACTGTGCCATCTTTTCTTGTGTTTTTAATGTTTGCAATGGATAGCAAAGACATGTCCCAGCAAAGTTGCGGTAGCTAAAATATACCACATTCAACCTCTGCATACACTTAATAAACCACCGCGACTGAAAATCCCTACCGTGGTTTTGTGCTGCTGCTCTCTGCATTTTTCGCAGCGTTGACCGTTCCATTCGAGGGCCCAGGACACGGTACTACCAGCTCTATCAGCCCTGACAACCACCTGCGCCCTGGTGGCATGCCCATTGGCAGGACAGACTTGGGGATCTGTCCACGTATCCTATATTCTGCCCTTCCATGTCTTTCATCTTCTACCTTTTCACGATGTTTACCTTCTGTAAATCACCTTTTCTGCGCAGCTAAAATTAAACACCTGTAACGGCGATGGCTTGTTATAGGAGATCTGAAAGAGCAACTCTGTGTCCTCAGGAGTAATCCTAGTCATGATAACCACAAAAGCCATCATCACAGTAACCACAATCCTAGCAATAATGACATGAATAAAAATTCTTGTGTTAGCAAGGGCTCCCCAGGGCTACCACAGCTCTGATTAAAGGCAGCCTGTGCAGGCTGGTCCAGCCCTTTTGTGCCACAGCGTCTCCCCTACAACGATTCAAGTGCTTTAAAACCGCCATCAGTAGGAGCCTAACCCACCCATGATCCTCTTATGCTCTACAGGGACAGACAGACCTCTCCGGAGGGTGATCTAAGCTCCAAGCCAATTTCTGCAATCTCTAGAGATGAAGCCAAAGACACCTCTGCTCCCAGTTTAGATACATCAGGTGGGGTGAAGCTAGTCCTAACGCAGATGAACCCACAACCAGGAGAAGCCCAAGCCAGAAGGCTCCAGCTTGCCCGCAGGCTTGACTCTCAGGAAGCTCTTGGTGCCGTTAATCCACGTGACTGCTGGCTAGGACAGAAGCGTGCTTTGATAAAAAGCTGTTCCGGCACACCCGTAAATAGCTCTGATGAAAGCGCTGCAGATACCACAACATGTAATCAAGTGCATAAATAATTTGTTACACAACAGACCTTGGAAAAAAACAAATCAGGTGATTATTAGTAATAACTCTGTATATTGCAGCATCTGATCCCTGGAGGCCCCAAAGGAGGTCAGTCAAGCCGAGCACAGAACACTGCTAAAAAGCAAATCTGCCAGAATATTTGGGGATCTGAAAGCAGAATAAATGTGAGCTGCACAAGTCACTTTATAAAAAAGTGAGAATTACCAACAACACAAAAGGCACACGGAATCACAGAATCACAGAATGCCAAGGTTTGGAAAGGACCTCAGGAGCTCACCCAGCGCCACCCCCTGCTCAAGCAGGCTCACCCAGAGCAGGGGGCACAGGACAGCGGCCAGGCGGGGGTTGAAGATCTCCAGAGAAGGAGACTCCACAGCCCCCATGGGCAGCCTGGGCCAGGGCTCCGTCACCCTCACAGTCAACAAGTTCTTCCTCACATTCAACTGGAACCTCTTCTGCTTCAGTTTGTGCCCATGGCCCCTTGTCCTGGCACTGGGCACCACTGAGAAGAGTCTGGCTCCATCCTCGTGACACCCATCCTTGAGATATTTCTCTTCTCCAGGCTGAACAAGCCCAGCTCCCTCAGCCTTTCCTCGTAGGGGAGATGCTCCAGTCCCCTCATCATCCTTGTTCTGGACTCTCACTAGGAGTTCCTCATCTTTCTTGATCTGGGGAGCCCAGAACTGGGCCCAGTGCTCCAGGTGGGGTCTCACCAGGGCAGAGCAGAGGGGGAGGAGAACCTCCCTTGCCCTGCTGGCCACGCTCCTCTGAATGCGCCCCAGGATGCCATTGGCCTTCTTGGCCATTTAGTCATTTAGTGAACATCTTTATCAGCTAGGCAGCAACAAACTTGCTCCTTATTTCCCATAAACCATATTAAATGTCCTCCTATCTCATGTGCTTGATCCTGCATCAAGAAATTTAAAGCTAGGCATTGGGAAAATAATGATTGCCTCGTGCTTTTTTTTTTTTTTTTTTTTTTTTTTT